ACTCATTTACTTTTCTGCAGGAGCTTTAGATGACATTTAATGTTGGAATCCTTAATTACCATTGGTTATAGAATTTGATCTTCAGGATTCATAAAAAAAGCAAAGTTGGCACATCTGCTTTTGTTACACATTTTTTTCCTATGTCCCATGCTATTGCTAATGCAGGTTTAGTTAACTTTCACATCAGTATTGACTGTGATGAATCTTACACCACATAACTTCGTACAGTTGACAGAGACAGTTTGATATATGCCTCTCTGACCTATTTTGTTGTCATTATAGAGTCCAATAAGTTGTGTTCAAAAGTCCATCAGAGCATTACTGACTAAATTATATTCGGGTAATAGATCCATTACCAGACTGCATCTATTTTAGTGTTTGTCGACTACCATCAATTTATTATTATCTTACTTTCACTGTTTCATTAGAAATGTGTTACAGAAAGCAAAGATTGTGCTGAACACAAGTTCAATTTACGTCATCCTGATCAAAAAGAGAATTTCTCTGCAGATTGTGTTCCTTCATTGTTTGTTCCCATTAATTTTATCTTTTTATTAAACCATTTATAAAGTAGTTTAAAAGTTTGCAGTGAAATAAAAATGGGAATGAAACTGAACATAATGATATCAGTAAAATATGACAGTGTATATTTTACAGGTATGAAAACTTGTTGACTTCTTGTATCATTAATCAGAGGCCTGCACTTCTACAAGATGTATAATGCACACTCATGCACGCATGCACACACATGCACATGCACATGCACACAATTTTACACTGATCATAGTTTCATTTCAATTTGAAAAAGGATTAAAACCGGGTTCTGTATAGGTTTAATGTAGAGATAAAACTAAAGTGAGATTTTTACAGTAATCGTAGTTGCATTTCAATTTGATCTGATGTTTCAACAGGGGTTAACACCCTGGTCTGTGTAGGTAGGTTGAATGTAGAGGAAAAACTAGAATGAGATTTTTACAGTGATCACGGTTCAATTTCCTTTTAGCATACAAAACACTGCAAGATAAAGGGAAGCATATCTGGAGAATTTTTAGATTTATGTTTTTTGTGACAGATTGATCTCTGTTAGTGTATCAGATATCTTATGTCTGACAAAAGTTATGGAAATGAAATGTTCACTTGGAATTATGATATCATCTAAAGTAGAAAAACCTGTAAAGATACATCAGTTTGGTCAGAAACAATCCCTTGATTTATCACTGTTGAAAAAAAAAATTTAATGAGATTTTAAGAAAATATATTGGTGACAATATATACTTTTAGAATTTTTTTTAATTTGCTCTCCAGCGACATGTTTTAATTGCCTTAAGAAGCTTAAGCTCTTGGCTAAGGAAGAAAATTAAATGAAAAATGGGGCAAATGTACCTTTGAGATTCACAACATAACTTACTGTTCATATACAAAATTGTTGTCCTGAAAATTGACATTTACGCAACAGAGTCAAACTCACTTATGCAGACCACCTGTTTCTAGCCACCAAACTAGAAGAGCACTTTCCCTAAAGAAAAAACGCATGCATCATTTGTTCCATACAATTATCAGTAATTGCTTAATTGGCCATGCTGTCTCTGTAATTTGACTAATGGTTCTTATGGTAAACTTTTGACCCACTGACTTCATTTATCATATTCTGTTTAAGTCCTACAGATAGTATTCCAGGAAAGACGAGCCTTATATCCATTCTAGATCAACATCTTTCTCAGAATCAACTTAATGTGCTCTTATACTGGTTGAATACTCCTAGCTTAAAGCCTAAATTCTTTTCATGATGGCACGTTTGTTGTAAATGTCTTTGAAATACCATTGATGGTAGTTTTTCATTGACATAATCCATCATAATGGTAGAGAAAGGGTGGCAGGCATAGATAACTATATATTCAGGTAGAATCATTTTAAATCATATTCACTATAACATCCTTTTGTAATGTATATTTTTTCCAAGAGGGAATAATTTAATGTGCCTCACTTAGATAAAACTCCATAAAATCCACTAGTACATAGATCAATTTTTTACCCAGAGTGGGCCTTTTCCCAGCAAAAAGGGTGGTTCTTTCGAACCCCCCCGAACCCCCCTGGCTACCGGTCTGCTCTGCCATATTAACCTCTGACCCTCCCTTTCTGACATTTGCCATAACTATGTAACAATTTGGGAAAATTAAAAAGTCCTTAACCCATGCTCAAACATTGGTTTTTCACTTTGAACACTGATTTCAAAATTGCTTGGGATTCAAAATTGTGTCAAAATTGTTGACACATGGCTAGGTTCATCGATCAGGAGGTGATAAATAATACTGTATTGGGCAATATCAATTTATGGCATTTATCTGTTAAAATCATCTACAAGTATTATTTGTCCTTAGTTCAACAAAAAGTGGTTTATGCACTATAAAAATGTTTAAAATGATACACTTTATCCTTTTAATTTATTACCAGTGCCAAAGTTATGTTTTGGTCCTGTTTGTTTGTTTGTCTATCTATCTATTTGTTTGTTTGTCACCTGCATAACTCAAAAACTATGGATGGGTTTTGATGAAATTTTCGGGATAGGTCAGAAATGAATAGATTTTCATAGATTACCATCTGGACCCAAAAATTTCTAAAGGATTTTTCACTATTGCAAGATAGGGCCAATGAACTTGACCTCTCAACAACCACAGTTTATGAGTACAGGGTCCTTGGTGTTGGTCTGTGCTCTCAGAGTGCTATTTTTTTTAGTTTGAAATATATTGTGTCACACCCAGAATGAAGCATGTTTTGCAGGACTTAATAAATGTTTGCATCATGAAAATTTGAAGGGTTAATTAACAATTGGAGATGGCTTTCTTTCTATGTGTTCTGTCAGCGACAGTTACTCAACTTCCCTACTTAATGAACTCTGCCAATAGTGAACGCATTCAACACCGTAACTGAGCAGTTTTTGCGTCCAGCTGCTATATAAGCTGGACGTTTTCTACAGCAGTATGCAGTGCGGCATCGACACACTCCGGCGACCACAGCTAGTAGCAACGACAGGCGGCTCGACAGCAGCGGTTCTCTCCAGCGCCTCGCACGGGCCTACGACTCCGCGGTCACCCCGGCTTGACAGCAGCGGTTCTCTCCAGCGCCTCGCACCGGCCCACGACTCCGCGGTCACCCCGGCGGCTCGACAACAGCGGTTCTCTCCAGCGCCTCACACCGGCCCACGACTCCGCGGTCACCCCGGCGGCTCGACAGCAGCGGTTCTCTCCAGCACCTCGCACCAGCCCACAACTCCGCGGTCACCCCGGTGGCTCGACAGCAGTCTACTCCTGCTCCACTCATCAGCCCAAGACTCGACGGTCACACCGGCGGCTCGATATCGGTCTACTCGACTCCTGCGCCACTCATCTGCCCACGACCCAGCAGTCATCCCGGCGGCTTACGACAGTGGTATCTCTCGATAGCAGTCCAACCGACAGCGATCCATTTCGATTTGGTTTAATTTTATTTTCATTCAATTTTTGTAACCATTTATTCGCTATTAAATTATTTATTTATTTATTTTCTTCGTTCTTGTTGCTTCTATCACCGTCTCGTCCACAACATGTTCCATTCCATGATAAATCATGAGGTAGCTTTTCTGTGCCTGATGTATAATGATGTCATAAAGCATCTTGCACACTTTGAAAATAAATTGTTTTACTTGAAGCTTATTCTTTAATTAAAGGTATATTATTTGATTTGTTCCAAAATCATACATTTGTCTCATATCCTGCAAAGATATTCATCTTTTCCATCCCAGACCTTAGAAATGATAAACCCTTCAAATAAAAGGACCTGATGCTTTAAGTTCTTCTTGAAATGTCAGGGAGACATGATGGTCTAACTTATTTATTTAGAAATGGTGCAAAATATCAAGTAGTGCAGGGACAGGTCAAGCAATAATTCCCGAGTAGAAAAAAAAAACTGCTTTTATCTCAAGGAAAATTGTATTTGTGGTTAAAAAACCCATATTGGATAACTTTACTCTCTCAAACTATGAAATGAGAAGTGCCTTGATCTAATAACAAAACTTGATAACTTGAGAGAGTCTCATATGATTGCATGCTTATACTGTTATAAAGTGCACGGTTACATGTAAGGCATCATGATGAAGTCAATCGTCGATTTGTATTACTATAGGGAAGTAGCATATTTCAGAGCAGTATTTCTGTAAAAACTAAATTTCAAATAAATTTGACTTTTTGTTTTTCTAAGAGTATACTTGGCTTGTGATAGCTGTTAAGATTATTTCAAAGTTCCAGAAGCCATGTAATTCATGTCAGATGTGTTTTTGTCAATAAATTAAAGCATGATGAATCTTGAAAAGATGATCGGCGTTTTGTAAGAGTGAAATTTGTGAGAAATAAATGTAATTTTTTTCTAAGACTGAATTTGATAATGACGTTTAGCATCTCACCATCTCACTTGTTATAAATTGCTTAAGCAATTTAATAAATGGTTGTGTTTCACAAGGACACTTGGTTTCATGGTACATATGATTGCCTTCAAAAATTAGAAGGCTGATAATTGTTATGATCTCCTCATGAAGCCCAGTAATAATATACAATATATTAAAATTTTTCTAAAAATTTCAAACACCTCACCTATGTTCAAAATTTTCAACTTGCTTTTCAAAGATTTGGAATAATATTTTTGCAATGTTAATAACCTACATTGTAACCTTGTTTTCTGGTTTAAGGAATTCAGATAAATCAGTTTTGTTTGAATTTATAGCAAAAAATTACCATTATAACCTCTTCCCACATGAATTCTCCTCATGGGGATAGTATAGACAGTACTGAAACAGCTGATTTATTACACATTTTGTGAATGATATTGGAAGGAGAGAGACTGTAGTGCTCTGATTGGCTTAGTTTAACTTTTACATGTTCTTTCAATAATGATTAAATAACACTTTTACAGTGTAGGTATTTTGTGATATGATCACAATTCAAGTGTGGATTTATTTTCATTTTGGCTAGGTACGGAAGAGGGTTAAACTAGAAGGCATTGAGCTGGAAGAATATTTGAAGAAAGAAAAAGAAAGGGAAGCTGAAGAAGCTAGAATTAAGGCAGAAGAAGCCTTAAAGTAAGGATATCACCCTGTAACTGTTATCTTTAATGTTTCTTTTTCATGTGTCTATATGTTTGCATGCTTATAACTTTCTAATAATGAGTATTTCTTGAAAAATTTTTGGTGGAAACATTTATAACAAAATTAGAAGCTTTTTACTCTTAATTATTGAAATCAAATGTCTGATGACCAGATAACAGAAAGACCTCATACATCAGTTATGATAGAACAATCTGGATATTCGATGACATTTTTATTGAAATTTTTTCACTGTCGAAGGTGCCGAATTGTATGTGAAGAATTAACCAATACATCTTTAATGCATATTTAGTATGTATATCCAGGACAGTTGCCAATTACCATTTCAGAGCACTGGATGAGGAGTCAAGTGATGACAGCGATGTGGACATGGAGGCAGATATGCAGTATCAGGGGAAGGCTACTAAGCATGATCTCATGGTTAAGACTGAGGTAAGTGTGGTACAAGGGGTATACTGTTCATATGGTACAGTGAGTCGTACTGGCATGGCAAAGCATTCGAAACATTCTGATTGCATTTGAGGTAGAAGTGAAATGGCAAAAGACTTCAAATCCTGCCAGAATGTTCGCATGTGCCTCAAACGAGCCAGAATGCAACTCGAATGCATCTTGATTGCTGGCCAAAATTCTATTTCGGCCAGCAATTGAACTACACTCATACAGCATTTGAAGTGTATTCTAAATATTCTGACTGCATTCTGACAGCATTATTGATATTCCTAGTGTGTTTCAACTACATTCGAACTGCAATTGAGATTTTATACACCCGATATGTGCACGAATCATTCCAGGCGGATTCTTAGTATTCCAACGGTATTCTTACAAGAACATAAGTCAATTTGAAATTTCTTCCCAAATGTGTGCAAATTTTTAAAAATCTTCATTCTGGCTCATTCTGCTTGATTACTGCTGATTCTGAATAAGTGTGACGGAGGCTATAGACATAATGTCTGCAACAATATAATGGAATGTAACAGTTTAAATAAGTTTCAGTTTAGTATCATTTGTGCACACAATAAAAGTACAATTGATACAGTCTTCCTTGAGATAAATGACTATTTAAGGGGGTTTTATATGTAAGGATTTATTTCTTTATCCAATGAAATCATGTAGAAATTGACATTGTCTTGTAATGTAATAATGTTGTCACATCAAAAATACATCAAAGTGAATTTGCCCATTCAAGCTGATGATGTAATGGCAGCGTTTTTGTGATGAAAAGTGTAATATCGATTTCAAACAGATCTACCTCACCTGAATAACTATCAACTCTTGTTTTAATGCCTATGTAATCACAAGAATAATTACTACAATCCAGTGCCAAAAATTTTTTTTCAAAGGCTTACTTCTAATTTTATTAGTAGAAAGGTGAAATAATTACCTTTGTTTAATAAGACATTGCAATTAAGAATTTGTATCTGGTAAACAAAAACATTCAAAAACTGGCACCAGATTGTTTCTTACACCCCAATTATCAACCATATCAATTTTCATGATGATATCTTACTTAGTTACAGTGATACATCATGATCCAATCACTATGTCTCACCACTATTTACAAAGAGGCAAAATTGACAATAAACACCTGGCCATCCTGTGTGCAGAAGCCAGTAGGATGGTGAATAAAGCAACAGAAGGAGATTTTTTACTCTAAAAATGTTATTTTTTATTGCTCTAATATTAAGATAAGTGTTTCATATAAAAGAAATGTGAAAAAGGCTTTGACAAATGTAGGCCTTTTTAACATATCCAGCACCCCGAAGATCTTCTAAAGAGTAGTGCCAGTGACTGCAAATTAAATGAAAGTGAAAGCCAGCAGTAAACAAATTTCTAACACTACACTCTGTGGTTTTAACTGCATACAATTGTTAACTACTCCAATGTGGCAAACTTTTGGATGCCTAATCAGCGGTAACTTTTGTGAACTGTGATACAAATGTAGAACTAGTTGAGCTCTTGAATAAATCAATGAAAACACATCTGTACATTCTAATGCTGCACCAAATTATAGGGTTGTGTCAGAATAGCTCCATGTGAGTATTATGTGTATAAAGGCATAAGTAAATTTGCTGTGTAATGGAGTTAAGTGCAATCAGAATTAAGACTAAGACTGCATTCCCACAGATTTAGATCAATCCATCTGGATCGACCTAACTCCCTGGGGGTTCACGCTAAATTGCTGTCAGCTCAAGAGGCTTTAATTCCTGTCACGCCTACCGAATCAGCTAGGGTAAAGATAATTACCCCCTAACAGCGTTACTAGGTGTGCCAGCCAAGTTGACAGCAATTTAGTGAGACTTCCCAGGGGGATAGGTCGATCTAAATATCTGTGGGAATGGTCTCTTAAATGAAAATCTGGTATAAAGGGGATAATTATGAATATTTTGTGCTAGAATATTTTGCTGGAAATATTGTTGCACAATTACCAAATGGATGTACAAAGATGCGTTATTAGATGGTAAAAACAATAGCAAATTCATTCTTTAGAACAAATCATCTGTTTAACCACACAGGAAATGCCACACTACAGAGAGATAACGGAGGTATACACTCTGATGCACAGGAAATAAATAAATCAATAAATGGTAGAGCACGTATTTACCATGCACTGTTATGATATAGACAAAAAAGCAAATAAGGATGAAAAAGCCATCATACTTTTAATGAGAAAATGGATTAAATGTAAACAGGAACAGAATGATGCAATCCATTATTAAGATATTCATTATCAGGATAGGAATATTTTTTTAAGAGCACTATTGGTGTACTTGATTAACCTTCAGATGATTATTTAATTATTGCTGCGAC